CCTGGTGAGGTACACACTGCCAGAAGCCTTTTATAATTCTGTGCCAAAAATTTTGTAATATATAAATTACTTGGTAGGTTTTTTCCTGTGAAGGAGTTGCTTTTGGTTTAGTGGCTGAATTTACGTCAATGGAAGAAAGAAAAGAGAATGAAAATATTAGCCAGATGAAGGAATTTCATCTGTGCTACCATACCCTGTAATTGTTTTCCTTTGAAAGAAAAGACTCTGAAATCTAAGAGTCACCTTTTGGCAAAATACTCTAGGATATTTTTAACAGCTACGCCTTAAAATAATTCCTTTTCCATGGGCAAAGAAAAAGATCTGTTTTGAGCCTCTGAACACATCACTGGAAGAACTCAATTTCCTCTTTGTGTGCTGAGGACACCTGCCTCCAATCGTGACAAGAAGAAAAGCATGGTCATAAAGAGGTGGGCAGCTATTAAATTAGGTAGCAATTAGTTCCCTGGTACAGGAACCGAGAAAACCAGGAATACATCAACTATGAGCAGATTTACATATCAGCCCTTCTTACCTCCCTAAATATCTGCTGCCACAGGCTGCTGGGGCTGTGTCCCCGCCAGCTTCATTGTCCTCTGTAAATCACACTGTCCCCTGCATAGATGCCACTTGATCAAACAGCCTCATCACACCATATAATGTACTGTATTCACTTTGGGGAACACTGGGTGAATACTGATTGGCAAAATTTGGCCCATATTCTTATTCTTACTAATTGCAATTTGCTTCATAAAGTATCATAATCAGACCCACTAATTTTGCTTTCCTAGCACAGCAATTTTTCTGGTTCTCTCTTCAATACTCTCACACACTTATGCCCAACTTAGCTGCTGATCTCCAATATTCAAGGTAATGATCAGGTAATAAACTCTTAAATTAACTAGGAACTGTGAATGAGTGTCAGCTGACTGGTTTTTTCCTCTGAAATGCAGTTTTTATTTGTGTATCATGTATTTTCCACAACTACTCTTTCAATGCAGTCATCTTTTAAATCCTGATTTTAATTTTTTTCTAGGCATCTGTTTAAGCATCTCTCAGAGACAACAGAGGACTGGCATCTGTGATGACTCTTGCTGCGTCACTTTTCTTTGCTGCTGCCAACTCAGTGTGTCTCACTATGCACTTTATTGCTGGCTATTAATTTTTAAGCTAGCTTTATGTTCCTTATTAACAGCTCATTTCTCAAAAGAGAAAAATGATGTTGTTGCAGTTACAAGTTTTATAGAAATACAACATGAACATCTGAAAAGAGGGCACAGGCTTGTTTCTGAGGGATTATATTTCCATCTCAAATTCCTTTCCCTCTTCTCTATACTGTTTGGATAACACATAATTTCAGTTTATAAAAAATAAATAAACCCACCAACCAGTGTACTACCATGCATTATTCCTGAGGATGACAGGGGCTATTGGTCTGCATAATTTTCATACTGTCAAACTTCCTTTCTGCCTCCAAAAGGCAGGCCAATGTAGGTCACTTTTAATGAGGAGCCCTGTGTGTGGCTTTCCCCACACACTGCACAGCAGTTGGACACTTGCAAGTCCACGTTCTCCCTGCATCATCACCATATTCTGTCTTTTGTCAACAGGGCTGACTTCTGTCCACAACATTGGGCACTTTCACACGGTGAAGTCTCTTGCCTCCTTAACTCTGAATCAGTGTGTGCCCTTGCATTCTAGTGTATCATTTCCTCCAGCATTCATTATGCTGCAGTTAGCCTCTGGCTAGAAACTTCTTAAAACATGATGAGATTACTTGCTCGACAACATACAAGTTAATTGTAACGTAATTGAAAGATATACTAATCTATTCCCTTGTTTGGTCATGGTATCTTGGTTAAGATCATCCAGCATATTCTCATATGGTATCTGTGAAATCTTTTGCTATAAATTGTAAGCTCTGTCCACAGCACCTGTTTCTCTGTGAAAGACACAGGAATTAGAAGAGCTGTTGTCTCTAGCTTTGCAAACAAGAAAAATTTAAGTGGTACAAGCTGTTTTGGATCTAGGGTCTCCTCTCTGCAGTGCTTCATTCCCCAGGTATTTTAATGGGTTTGTTATTGGGATGGGGCAATTTGAAAGAAACCTGGCACCTGCAGGCGTGTGCTCTCTCCTGGCTGGCCTGCATATTGGACTTCTGAATACTCAACTGCAAGGGAAGAGTTAAGCTCCCTAGACTTCACTCTGCTTCCTATCTTTCCCCTACTCTCCTTCTATTCCATTTTTCTCACCACCTCCATGTGCAGCATCCAGACTCTCCTATCCTTCCCCAAGGGGTAAGGCAAAGGCAGTGCTGTGCTGAACGGGGCACTCCTCTGCCAGCCAGGCTCACAAACTGAGTTACCAATATTTGCACCTTTAAACACATGGGCTCAGCAGTTGCCTTAATCCCCACCTTGAGCTCATTGCTAAATCCTTGTGCTCCCCTCTGCCCTGCACCCCAGGCATGTGGGGCCGAGGGACGAGGAGGAGATAGGGACAGGCTGTGCCTGCTGGGAGAAGAGAGGATGGGACTGAAGGACAGGGCTCTGGACCTTTGAGGACAGCAGCAGCTGCCTGAGGAAGCCGCTCCTGTGAGGATCAGAGCCCATCAGGTCAGTGCTGCATCAGGAGGAAAGGACTCATCAGGGTGACACTGCACAGCCTGCCCTGTGCTCTGCTCACGGGCTCCAGCAGCTCCAGCTCCTCCACACACTGGCAATTCAACACTGCCCAGCGTGACATGTGCAATGCTACAAGTAAAATCAAGCTTATGCAACCAGGTGATGACCAATACACAAGGGAAGGACCCTGTATTCTTGATCACTTCAAAGTATTTTTATCATTAGTATGTAATGTCATGTAAGGTAAAAAAAAGGACCCCCAAATTAATCCAACATCTTCATACAAGTTGGATTGAATTGAAATTTCTCTACAAGCCAATGTGAATAATATATGTTTGTCTAAATTAAACTGTTAGAGCAGCCCCTCTGCAGAGCAGACAAGGATGGAGAATTGTAAGAGATACACATCCTTCATCCTTGCCTTCCTTTTAGGGCCAAGTCCCTTAATTTACTTGAGCTTCAGCTTTTTTGTCCTTAAAGCAGACATAACTTATGCCCACAGTGATGCTGTCACATTAATCCATCTGGTATTTGCCAACACACGGAAGAATTTATTCTAATGAGATGTACAGAAAGCAGGACACCATCATCTGAAGCTGTCTATATTCTTCCTTACAGTTCTACCCAGTTTCATTTTTGCCTGGGAAAGTAGGTCAAAACACTAAACTAGAGTTGTTTGAAGGGGAAAATGCAACTTTTAACTTCTTTTGGCGTAAACACCAGGGTTTTTTTCCCAATTAGCACTCAGAATGGTCAGGCAGGGTCACAGGACTCTGTAGAGGTGAGCATGAAGGTAGCATTTATTCTTGACCTGTTCCTTAATCAGCAAAGATTCAACACAAGAGGAATAATTTATGTGGCCAGCAATTGATTCTTGCTCAGGAAGCCCCAGGGGAGAATTGTAATCATGGCAAGCTCACCTTCTCCCAGGACATGTTAAAATGTGGGGGATGGAGGGTAATGTTCCTTCTGAGCAAAGCAAAGCTTGGGTGCCCAGCTTGTTCTCCACACACACTTTACAGTTCTGGGCAGGACCTCTGGCTGTGGCCATACGCTGCCCCTGCAGCTTCCCTCACTACATACAGTAATTACTTTGTTTTCATTAATTGGTCTTAATGCATGCATGCACAGCCACAGATCAAGCGAGCCTCTGCTGCGAGTGCAGCAGTTTTGGCTGGGAAGTCGCACTTGCCCAGGTTTGTAAGGCCAGCAGCCCACCAGCAGCAGCCTCAGCACAAGCATCCTTCGTGTGTGAGCAAATCTGGGGGGCTCAGTGTCCCCCAGCAGGTCCCAGGGGCTGCAAACTGCAGATTCCCGGGGATGGACGCACTGGCACAAACAGCATCCTGGTGGGGACACATTAATGCTGTCCTGGTGTCAATGAAACATTACCATCAATTAAAGCAGGCAGTATGGCTGATTTATAAGCCAATATATAACCAAATATAGCACAGGAGATGTTTGGAAAAACAAGTATGTGAAATAGGCATGACAAATAGAAAAGCTTTATTAAGGGATGATTTCTGTGATCACTATCTCCCAGAACAGTGATATTTTAACATCCTTATCCAAACAGGAACACAGATAAACAGGCTGTAAACTCATCCTGTTACCCTGAGGTTTGTGCAGTGACAGAAATGACCAATGATTTTTGTACATGGGCAAAATGTTTTCATTTATACCTCTGACTGGGGTCTGCTAGGGGAAAGCTGTCACCCATCAAGTGACTTTGGAGGGACTAATGAGAGGGATAAATGTAGTTTGTAATAAAAACAGTTGTCTGAGCAACCTATTCAGACTGACTGATTTGGATTCTTACAGCAAATACTTAAGCACATGTTGGTAATGCAAAACAAATTAACAAAAAAGGTTGGGGGAAGAGCCTTCATGCCTAACTTGTCACCTAAGGCTGATGAACTCCAGTGCAAAAGCTGAAGAAAATTAAGTGCTAAACTGTAAATACTTCAGCCAGGCAAAAGTGAAAATGCAGCTGGCATTTAAATTAAAAGCTATAGTCTGCATGTATCTGTCTCCTCATTCCTTTTAAAAAGAACATTTTTATCACCAGAAAGGCCTCAGCCTTATCTACCCCAATATAGGTGGCTGTTTGAGATACCATGCTACTGACTCAATTTGGACACATAAAAGTTCTTGGCTCACCTATCATGAAGTCAAATTCATCAGAGATAAATTCAAATAAGCTGGGCAAAATCACTTTTAGGGTGCCCTGTGTTCTTCCAATTATCACTACAAGTCTCCATAGCGGATAATATAAAAAATGGAGTATTTACAGTGTATTTAATGCAGCCCCTGTGTGTGTTCAGCCAGGGCTGCCAGTCCCACACCTCTCCACACAGAAACACGCTGGGTACCTCCTACCTTGGCTCCATCCACACTGATAATCCGATAGCTGTTTCTCGTGCTGTCATAGAAGTAGGAAACAGTTACAGCCTGCTTGCTTGCGGGGACCCAGTTCTTCTTCGTGCTGGGGTCAATTTGGAAGACATGGGCTCTGGTGGTGAAGATGGGCTGTTCTCTGGAATAGGGAGGGACAGGAGAGATGGATGCATGAGTCTGCGGAAGGTGAAATGTCCCAGCAGCCCAGCTTGACCAGGCACATTGAAAGCACAAGGCAGAGAGCACCTGGCAATCCCCCAAACGAAAAGGCAGAGCAGTGACACTGCCAAGCCACACTCCAGCCTTGAGTACCTTTCCTTGGCATCACTAAATGACACTCAGCATCCTAAAGTTGCTGCCATAGCCCAGGAAACAACTGGCCTTTTTCTCCCCATGTTAAACTACCTCAGTACCCATCTATTCCTCAACATATTTATTTCCAGGGAAGGACATTCATATGCATTCCTTCTTTCTTTCCCCATCCACATATTTTCCCAGAAGCAACAAACCCCCAGCTGGATTTCCTCCTGCTGACATTCCAGTGAACTGCTACCTACAGCCAGGGCTCCTCTGTGGGTGCACCAAGGACTCCAGTGACATACAGGCATGCTATAATTACTGAAATATTAATCTCTCTCCTCAGAATCCCACTGTTCTGTGGATGTGCATGAAAATTTCATTAGATGCAAACCATTCAATCACCCTGGGAAGTGAAGGGGGGGAAAAGAAACAGAACCAAACTCCAGTGTTGATACAGATATTGCCTTTTCAGCTCTCAGTGGGTGATGTAGCACCCCTGAAATCCCTTTCCTAAACACCAGCCTTCCTCAGATGCTTTTTCTCCTCAGGAAGACTGTGCACACAATGGAGGGGTTTTGTTTTACCTTCAATGTGTGACCAAGCAAATCACACAGAAATGCAGAGAATATGCAGGACCAAAAGAACCAACTGTGATACATACAAACTCATCTAGGTTAAAGATCAGAATGAAGCCTTTCTTTAATGTCATAAAACTGCGTTCACCACCAAGCACACCTTTAATCCAAGTTTAGCCGTAGAAGTGAACTGCAAAGCAAGCTCTACTGAGTTATGTGCATTTTCATGCTTTTGATTTTTAAAAGCTACACTATATAATGTTTTATATTAAGTGTACCACTCAAGATATTCTTGTCCCATACAAAATATTACATCATGAACAGGTAATTGACAGAATTATGACAGGATCCAAAACCAGTGGTACTGCAATTGAGCTACCACCCAGAAACTGAAATTAAAATCAAGGGGAGTAAATTTGCAAATATCAAACAGATGAAGTGATTTAAGAGTACAATTAGCTCAGGAAAGATGGAGTGAACTTGCAAAGCCCAGCAAGGCCTCAGGAGAGAGAAAATGAAAGAGTGGTTTTCTCCTTGCAAGACTTACACTTCTACACTTTTCCAGGGGCTTGCAGGTTTCTGGACAGACAGCTGTGCTGAACCATGTAAAATACTTACTCAAAATAAATTGAAATGACAATGGGACTGTCATATTACAGCTGTCAAAGAGTAGCATTTGCTTCAGTTCTCCTTTATCAGTAACTTGCTGAACCCAGCTCTCATTTCATGCCAATATCAATGCCATCCTCAGCTGGGTGGAAAGAAGTGCCAGGTATCCTTAACATTTTAAATACTTTCCTCATCCATTACACAGGATTAACATTGTATCACCTACAGAGGTCATGGAGCTTGTCTGCAATAACAAATTCAGGGAGGGGAAGTTTCCACCAAGCTGTGTACTCTTTTAAGAAATGTACATTCCCTGAATGAAAAATAATCTTGAAATTTTTTTGCCTTTAACCTAGTTGTATATTTTCACTTGACTCTACTAAAAACACAGTAACATGACCTAAATATTGCAATCTAAATGTTAGGAATTTTCCTCCTTGCAAACCTATTCCACAGACAACTTTAATTCTGTTACATTATCTTAACTACACCAGAAAACACTGTTAAAACTGTGCCTGGCTGCTGTGCAGCAGGGGCAGTAAGCATATAAAGTAAATCTGGAGATAATAAAGGCAAAATGAAGGCAAAGGCCCACAACTATCCATCTCCATTTGTTCAGGAATCTTGAAGCTGCTACAGTTGAAACAGGAGGTGTACACATATATCCAAGTAGATAAATCAATGGATAGTGAAGCTCTGGGCTGCAAATATCCATCTATCTATTCATTCTTTTATTAAGAAGTAAAGGCAAAATCTCTGTTTCTAATCCTATGATTATCAACAACAAAAAGGTCCACCTGCATTTTGTCTTTCTGTGTCACAGTGATAGCATGCTAGTTGATAAATTATTAAAAATAAGAAAATGCAATGTGTAAACTTAAACATCAATGTGAAATGAAATGAAATCATTTGAGGTAGCTGATCTGTTGACCTTTAGCTGGGACTCAGATTTGGAAGGGCCAGTTGGATGCTCCATGTGCCTCTGCCCTTCCTGCCATAGGTGGCTCTACAGGTCAGCAAAGACCCCAGACTGATTTCTGACTTCCTGCCCCCAGAACACAACCTCCTGGATTTCCTGGCGTTGCCTAATAACAATTCAGAACAGAAGATGCATTTCTGTGTCTGTGTGTGCCCTGCTGCAGTTCTGTGCTCAGCTCTTGCCCCAGAGAGCCCAGGACTCGGCACCAGCGCTGGGAGGTGGTGCCAGCGCTTTCCCACAGGACGGCAAAGCCAACTGCCCTGACGAGCTCCAGAGCTTTAGCACTGGGAGAATGTGCACTGCATCCCCAACTCCTCTGACCACCCAAGCACACACTGGCAACTGTGTGAAACTGTGGCACTCAATTTTCAAGTGAAACACTAAATTAGGTACTTTTAAAACCCTCCACCATGGCACTACAAATTGAGAACGATTATTCTGTCTTACTCACTTGTAACTTCTAGGTTCAAGAAAGCACTTTACTGGTAGAAGAATTACTTCATTTCCCAGGGTTCCTTTCCTTTTCATTTTATCAGAGATTTATGATTTATCAGCTTTTATGATGAAACAACAGCAATGCTAAGTTGAAATTCTGGCAGCACTTTCTGCATGCTTGGAGCCCTGTGAGCTGGTTGCTCCATGAGGCTGCCAGTTTGCCCGGGGAGGCTGGAGCAGCAGCACTGCCAGCCGGGCTTGGACCCACACATGGAGGCAAAGAGAATTTATGAATATTTAAAATCTCATTAATTTTAACCAAAGTCGTTAATGATTGATTAAATACTCTTTTAAAAACTCCAACTGTTTAAAAATCAATTTGACAGTAACATCCACGGCTCGGAATAAAGCTGCTTGAAAAGTCAAACATGAAAAGTAGAAAATCACACCTAATCATTCTTTATTGGTAATACAATTTAAGACAGAAAATGCTTTTTACTATTAAATATGGCAAGCATGTTTTATAAATATAATTGCCATTTTCTGGTCATGGTTTTACACATTGCAGTCGACCTTTAATTTCTGTCCTTGCTTCATATAAGTGAAATCTCAAGTAAAAAAACAACCACTCTCCTTTAATGTCATTAACCTTTTCTGAAGAATTTAAAAAGCAAACCACGAGATTCTAGAGCTAACTAAGTTCTCCACAGCTGTGTGAGAGACAGTATCACTTTCTGGTTAAGATACAACCATGCCAAATTTTACAAGTGTGTGACTAGCTGCAAGCCATGTGTTTTGTATTACTCTTCCTAATCAACGGGAATGAGCTCTCAGTTAGGAAAAGTTCAAATTATTTAATTCAAATTTCCTTGTTTATCACTTGAATCATGAGCACAACCAGTGATTTAAATCACTTCAGCTATAAAGAGTCCTTGCTGAGTGGCAGCCAGCATCCTCCAGGCTGCGGGATGCTGGTGGCCGATGGAGCTGTGACACAGCGAGCTCCGGCTGGGCAGCACCGGGACAGCCACGGATCCGGGATCCACGTGTGGGGCCATGTGGAGCCAGCTCCCAACCAGGCACTGGTGAGTGAACACTCTGTACTGCAGCAATCCTTTTTGCTAGTAAATAAAACATGGTGACCCACAGGGGTGCCTGCGGGATCAGCACCCAGACACGTTTAAACGCACGGAGTGCCCAGTGTACATCAGGTGGATGCACTGACCACAAAGTCACAAGGACAAAATAATTTTTGTAGGATCTGGAACATCAAGTATATTTGTGACAGGAGATCTGGTATTCCACTGGAAGCAAAACCACTAATTACACATTTTTTTAAAACTTTCACTAGCAGACCACTTAAAATTCCTGGGATAAGGATTCCTAGTTTACAGCACAGGATTATTTGTGCTCTTCCCACCCTGACTGTAGAAAGCTTTGCATTAACTGTCTAATTTACCAATTGAAGTAAAAATATTTTTAAAAGCACATGTCTTCATATATCTGCCATTTGGTGGAGGATGCACATGCCTGCAGACATCAGCACAGAGATTTTGGAACGTGGTGCCTCCTGCTACAGCCCAGCATCATGCACACATTGAGTTTATAATACCTGACAGTGCCAGCAGATCTGCAGTGATTTGCTGTAACAAGTATTAGATAATGAGGATCTCTCAAGAAAGAAGAGTAGATGCAAATGCAAAATCCTGCTTTGTGACATATCCCCCATCACTGGTCATGATATGAAAAACTCTATTTGTTAAACACAACATGATAAAATTGGTGCCAACAGTTATTTGGATTGAACATTGCTACTGCTGCCTGTGCAGTAAATGAAATGTGCAATGAAATGTGCAATGAAAAGAATTAATCCTCTATGTACATAAAAAGTAGTTTGGTGTCCCATTGGTATTTATTTAGATCATGGATGGAAATTTTTCTCCTATTTGAAATACTCATCTTGATGAAAGTCCAGGCAAGTTATGATGCCTAAAAATTACCTGCAAAAATAGTTTACCTACTTGTTACTCTACTCACTTGTGTATATATATGCACATTTCAAACTTTGAAAAACAACCAACTCCTCTCCCTGAAACACCAAAATTGAAGTAAAGGTAGGCCTGTGATGAAGACACAATTGCTGTGGGGTGAAGTTGCAGTTCATGGTGTCACACGCAGCAATTAGCACAGTGGTTGCAGTTTATATGCAATATTAGTCTTTGCTCCAAGCAAAAATTAGAG